ACCTTCGGAGGCTTTATGTAAGGGCCGCCTTTGGGGTTCCCGTTTGGGGGCCATGCGTGGGGCCGACGTTTACGGGGCCACGTCTGGGGGCCACCCCGGAAAGCAGTCGGGGGAGCTCCAGGGGCACTGACCTGGAAGCGTGAAAAGGAATGGGTTTTTGCTAATTGCGCCGGGCCTGGGGGCGACTAGCAAAAACACATGGTTTTTCAGGCATAGTCGGGGAACACGTTTGCGGCCTCGGTTGGGGGCCGCGCAAGGAGGTCATGGGGCCATCTTGGGGGCCTTGGGCCGCCTCGGAGGTCGCTTTCGGCCCTCTTGGGCGGCATCTGGGGCTCTTCTTGGGGCGTCTTGGGGCCATCTTGGGGGTCTCGGGCCGTCTCGGAGGTCGCTTTGGGCCCGCTCGGGCGGGATCTGGGGTCCCGTTGGGGCTGACTTGGGGGTCACTTGAAGCTCTCTTGGGCCGTCTTGGAGCCCTCGTGCGCCGTCTACGGGCCTTCTTGGGTCGTCTGCGGGCCCTGCTGGGGCCCTCTTGAAACCGTGCAGGGGCAATCTGGGAAGCCCAAGGGCCATCCTGGGCCGTTGTAGGCCCGAAGTGGCGGGAACAGGAAAACCCTCGAAATCTGAGGAAAACGCACAAGTATTGCCTCTTGGCACCGTCCACGCGGTCCTCGGGGGCCGTCTCTGAGGCCTTTTTGTGCCGTCATGGGTCTCTGGTCGGGTCGGCTTCGGCATTCTTTGGCGACTGTGAGACCGTCTTGGGGCGATCTTGGGGTCCTGGAGCCGTCGGCGAGCGCTCCAGGGGCCTCCTTGGGCCGTCGAGGAGCGCCCCGGAGGCTCTCTGGCCCGCGGGCTCTCTGGGCGGCCCGGGGCGCTGCTACTGAGGCGGGGGTCCTCGTGGTGCCCTTTGGGCCCATCTTCGTGCCCTTTTGGTCTCTGTGAGGCCTGTCTTGGGGATCACGGGCCGTCTGGGGCTGTCTGGGGGGCCTCTTGGGCATTATTGTGGCCCTCTTGGGGCTCTCTTGGGGCTCTCCTGGGGGCCTCGTGGAGCCCTCTTGGGCCGCCTTGGGGCCCTCTAGGGCCGTCTTGGGGCCCCCTTGGGCCGTCCTGGGGCTCTCGTGGGGGCCCTCGTGGGGGCGTCGTTGGGGCCTCCAGGGTTCTCTTCAGCTAGTCGTTCTCGCAAAAGCCCGTACAGAAAAAACCTTCAAAGACCAAGGGAACATCAATGTTTTCTTGGCTCCTGGGGGCGTCCTTGGAGTCGTCTGGAGTGCCTCCGGGGCCACTCGGCTCCTTAAGGAACCCCGGGGGGGGGGGGGCAGTTTGGGGCTCGCTCGGGGCTCTGGTGAACACGTTATGGGCGGCCCAGGGCCCTTGCGGGACCGCCGCAACGGTTCCGGGAACGCCGGCGACGGACCAGGGCCCAAGGAGCGCCAGGAGCGGCCCCGAGCCACTGCCGGTCACCTCGCACGCGCTGCGACCGGCATTGTAATATAAACTAGGCTAGGGCTGACCCGCGGCCTTCCGGCCGCGCAGTCTGCCCGCCATGGTGTGGACGTGGAAATGGAGCGTCTCCGGGGCCTCGCGGGGGGGGTTGGAGGAGACGGTGTGGATGCAGGAAGTGGCCGCTGAAGGGGGAGGTGGGCAAGGGATGCAGGCAAGCAGGCCTGAAGGCAGGAACGCATGTAGGCACAACGTGGTGTGGACAGAAGCTGTTTCTCACGCCGCGCTCTGTGTTCACCATAGCTTTTGCGGGGCGGGTCGCCGTGATGATTTTATCTGCTCTCAGCTAGGGCCGCTTGATATACGACCCAAGAGTCCCGCAATAGGGCGCCGAGACGGCCCGCACTAGGGCCGCTCAGGCGCCTGGTGCACGGGAGGATCACCGATAAGACGCTGGAGAAACTGTCAAGTAACTGTCACTTTGGCTTACTTGGGCTGCGCGTCAGGAGCCTTCTCGGGGTGTCTGGACACTCTCGGGGCCTTCTTCGGGGCATTCTCGGGACATCTCTGTGGCTCCTAATATCGGCTCTTGGGCCATGTTGGCTGCCCTCCTCGTCCTGCCCTGGATCGGTCATCCAGTCGGTCTTCTTTAGGAGCCACCTCGGTGTGTCTGGACCGTCTTGGGGCCTCCTTCGGGTCATGCTTCGGACATCTCGGTGGCTTATATCGGCGTTGGGGGCCATTTTGGGTGTCCTCTTCCTCCTCCCCTCGATCCTTCATCCCGTCGATCTTCTCGTCAGTCGTCGACGCTCCCCAAGAGACAAGCACTGAAGGCCTCATGGGGTCCGTTTGGAAGCCTCTTCTCGTCCTCCTGGGGGTCTCTCGGGCCCTCTTGGGCCGTCTTGGGTGCTTTTTGGGCCGCCTTGGAGCGATCTGGGGCCGTCTTGGGCGCCTCTGGGCTCTGGGGCCATCTCGTGGCCGTCTTGGTGCCGTCTTGGGCCGTTATTGACCGCTCTTGGAGCTGTATTGGTTGCCTCTGGGGCCGTCTAAGGCGTCTCTGGAGCCGTCGCGGGGCCGCCTCGAGCCGTTTGGGGGCCCTCCTGGGGTGCTCTGGGGGCGTCCTGGGGCGATCGGGAAGGCCTGTATAGCCGTCTTAGATGCGGTGAAGACGAAAAGAGCGAGCAGATCAAAAATGTACGTTTTCCGAAGGGAATGGGCCAATGTTTGCCTCTTGGGTCCCTCCTGGGGGTCCTCCTGGGCCGCCTTGGGAGCCTCCTGGCCTGCCTTGGAGGCCTCTGAGGCCGACCTGGGGCTCGGGTGGGTCCCTCTTGGTCTGTCCGGGCGCCCTCGTGGGCGTCTCTGAGCCGTCTCGGAACGGCCCAGGGGCTCGCAGGGCGGCCCGGAGGGCCCGGCCAGTCTTTCGGGACAGAGGACCTTCTGGCACGCAAAGATTGCTGCATTGTAGAAGAGACTAGGGCGAACCCGTGGACTTCGCCCACGACCTTCAGGTCCCCCTGGTGCGCCTCGCAGGCTCTGGAAACTTGTTTGTCTTGTAGAAACCTGAAGGCGGGCGCTGCCTTCTCCGAGGGATAACTAGTTTGGGAGCTTCTCGGAGCTCCTTCGGTTTTGAGAGCCCCTGAGTGAAGGGCTGGTCACGTCACCGCTCGCTCTTGGGAGCTGTGCCTGGGAGAGCTCTCTACGCTGCGGTTCGCTCTTGGGAGCCTTGGTGAGAAGAGCTTTGTACCTCACCGATCGCTCTTCTAATGGGCGTCTCTGGGCCTGCTTGATGGTGCTTGTGGGGGTCTTTTTCTTGCCATTCTGAAGATCTTTTGGGCTGCTCTGGGAGCGTTTTGGGACGTCTTGGGGCCATTTTGGGCCGTCACGGGGCGTCCGGGAGGCCTTGGACCGTCTTGGAGCTCTCTTGAGGCTGCCTGAGGCCGTCTTGGGAGCCTCTTGGGGCCCCATCGGGCCGTCTTGGGGATCTGTGAAGCCGTTTCAGGGTCTCTCTGGCGTTGTCTGAAGGCTCTTGTGGGCTGTCTTGGAGCCCTCTTATGGACCGCTGGCGTCTTTTTGGGGCGATTTGGGAGGCCTCTTGGCGTGTCCTGGGCCGCTGAGGAGCACACAAGGCGGGCATGCTGAAAGTATACGTTTTCTTTTAGGAATTTGACGATTCGTGCCTCTTTGGCGTGCGCTCGGGGCCTTCTTGGGGCGTCTTTGCGGCCTCTTGGATCATCGTGGAGCCCCCCCCCGGAAGGCTTCGGGCCCTCGTGGGCCGTCTCGGGACCCACTGAGGCCGTCTTGGAGCGCTCTTGGACGGTCTGGGAACCCCTCTGGAGCGCCTCTGGGACCGGACTGAGCGATTCGGCCCCGTGGTGGCGCCGTGAAGGGGCGATTTTGTGCACTTGAGGCCCTGGGCTTCTGGACTCCGTCCATGACATCTTTCTGGAATGGTTCTCCTAGGAACGGCGGAGCTTTCGCCGAAAACCTACAAGCACGGCTGCGGCCAGGGCGGCGGCAGCGAGACCGTGCCTTCGTATCCGAGCTCTTGCAGCGCTCCAGCAGATTGGCCCTGGCGCACGTCTGGTTCGCCTCCCTCCTATTGAAAGCAGTTTTGAAGTCTCTCTGGGATGCGCGTGAAAGTCGAAGCCCATCTGAGGCGTCTCAGGAGCACTCAGGGACAGGCTCGGGAGGCCCTCGGGGAAAGCCACCTAAGAGGATGTGACATTTGACAAGATCTGAGCAGAAACTGATGTTGGGTCGGATGGTCTACGCAACGTTGAGGAAGTCGTTATGTTGGAGTTCTGTTGAAGCTCTCTCGGGCGTGTCAGGAGCACCAGGCCCCCTCTCTTGGAGGCAGTTTGAAGCCTCTTAGGGCCTCGTGGAGAGGTGAATGCCTCTCAGGTCCTCTTGTGGGCCTCTTCGGGGCCTTTTGGGACCCTCTTGAGCCGTCTGGCCTCCTCGTGGGCAGTCTTGCGGCCACGTTCAGAGCTCCGTACGTCATCTGGACCCTCATGAGACTCTCTAATGGGCCTTCTCGGGTTTTCTCCTCCTCCTCCTCCTCCTCCTCCTCCTCCTCCTCTCCTCCTCCTCCTGCTCCTCCTGCTCCTCCTGCTCCTCCTCCTCCTCCTCCTCCTCCTCCTCCTCCTCCTCCTCCTCCTCCTCCTCCTCCTCCTCTTGCTGCCGAGAGTATGTATGCTCGGGGGGCGGCGGGAATGCTGCCGAAAGGCGCTCCACATGGCGGCAAGCCCCTTCAACAGCAGGGCCTCTTGGGGGCCGTGTGGGGGCCTCTTGGGGCTTCTTTTCGGCTTCGAAGGCGCCTCGGGGGGCCCTCGGGTGCTCTCGTTGGTGCCCCTGGGGCCGTCGGGGTGGCCTCTGGAGCGGCTCGGAGCCGTCTTGGTGTCGTCGGGGCGCCCTCTTGAGCGGTTCGGAGCTGCCTTGGGGCCGTCGGGGGTGTCTCAGAGCAGTCGTGAGGCCGTCGGGGCGCCCTCTTCAGCGGCTCGGAGCCGCTGGAGAGCACTCGGTGCAGAAGCCCTTCTCGCATTGTTTCACATAGTTTAGTATAGATGACGTCGGGCTCCAGCTTCGTCTCCCACATCTCGCTCAGCACTGACAGCGCGTGTTGCCATTGCCCGCCTTTTCTGCATGCGCTGGCAGTCGCCATGTAGTGACTTGGGACGAGTTGCGCACTGAATCGAATTCCTTCGCGGAGCAGCCGCAGTGCTGCGCTCCATTGTTTTGTCCGACCGCAGTTCTTGATCGACGCTTCGAGGGAAATAGCGCCTTCTCGAGACGCTCGACCGATGCCCAGCATCCGAAAAGACAAGGAACCGCGGCTTGAGCCACACACGCATTGGGTCAAAACGGCTTGAGCCAAAACGGCCTGAGCCAAAATGGCTACAGTTGGTTGGCTGGCTGGTTGGCTGCTTGGTTGGTTGGTCGGCGGGTCGCCCCGCCGCCCGCACGCGCACCCGCCCAGCCGCCCTCCTGCGCGCGCGCCTGCCCGCCCGCCCGCCGACCCGCCCGCCCGCGCGCCCGCCCGCACGCGCGCGCGCGTGGCCGTCCGCCGCGAGGACGACGGCGACGACGAGGACGCCGACGACGACGACGACGACGACGACGACGACGACGATGGCCTCCAGGACGGCCAAGTTGGCGCCAACATTGCCACAAGAGGGCCCAAGATGGCATCATGATGTCTCCAAGACGGCCCACGATGCATCCAAGACGACCCAGGATGACATTGAGATTGTCCAACAACTGCCCAAGAGCACCCCAACAGGCTTCCAAGGCTGCCCAAGAGGCCTCCAAGAGGACCTCCAGGAGGGCCCGAAGAGGCTAAAACTATGTATTTGCTTCAGGTGTTGGAAGGTTTCTTTTAGGTGTTGGAAGGTGTTGGCATTTGCTTCTTTTCGGCCTTCCGGCGGCCCAAGGCGGCCCAAGAGGCCCCCTAGATCGCCCCAAGGTCGTCCGAAAAGACTCCACGATGGCCCCATGACGGCCCCAATACGGCGCCAAGACGGCCCCAAGGAGGCCTAGACGGCTAAGATGGCCTCCAGGACGGCCAAAATGGCGCCAAGAGGGCCACACATGGCCTCAAGATGCCTCCAAGACGGCCCAAGATGCATCAAAAACGACTTAAGATTGCCTTAAGATGGCCCAAGACGGCCCAAGAGCACCACAAGAGGCATCCAAGATGGCCCAAGAGGCCTCCAAAAGGACCTCCAAGAAGGCCCGAAGAGGCCCAAACCCTAAATTTCCAGAAGGTTTTCAAGATGTTGGCTTTCGCTTCTTTTCGGCCTTCCGACGGCCCAAGACGGCCCAAGACATCACCAAGATGGTCCCAAGATCGCCCTCGAAGCCTTCAAGATGGCCCCATGACGGCCCAAGAGGCCCCCAAGGCGGCCACATGAAGGCCCCAAGACGGTCTGAAAAGCCTCCGAAACGCCCAAGATGGCCTCCAAGACGGCCCTTGGCCTCAAGTCGGTTCAGAGAGGCCCCCAAGACGGCTTCAGACGGCGTCAGACAGGCTAGGATTGATTGCCCCAACACTGCAAAAGAGACCCCAAAGAGGCTCAAGGAGGCTTCCAAGAGGCCTCCAAGAGGACCCCTGGGAGCCCCCAGGAGGCCCCAAGAGCGCCCTAAGAGGCAAGAGGCCTCCTCCTCCTCCTCCTCCTCCTCCTCCTCCTCCTCCTCCTCCCCCGTCCCTTCTCCTTGTAGATAACTCCTCCCTGTCGCACCCGGAGGCCAGTCGAAAAGGCGGGCCGGGCGTTTCGCCTGAGACTTCTTCACCACCTATGACTTTGATGCTTCGAACTTGGAAGAACTTCACGGATGGAGGGCGGTCCGTTTTCAAAATGTGGCTTTCGCCGTAGCGCCTCGCACATTCGATCTAAGCATGCGCAAAGGGTTTCACAGATGCAGGGCGGCCCCTTTTTAAAAATTAATAAGGATCTCACCGTAGCGCCGCGCACATTCATTTTAAAAGTGATCAAGAGTTTCACAAATGAAAGGCGGTCCGTTTTCAAAATGTGGCTCTCGCCGTAGCGCCACGCGCACTCGCTTTAAACATTCGCAATGGTTTCACGCATGGAGGGCGGATCCTTTTTTCAAAATGTGGCTCTCGCATTAGCTTCGCGCGCATTCGTCTGAAGAGTTTGCAAGCGTTTCAAATATTCGCATGGTTTACGTCCCAGAAATGGTCTCTTGGCACGGTGTCTTGATCCGCGATCTTGAAGTCCCAAGAATGCTGTTCTGGCACGATTCAGGACCGTCAAGATGCAACAATGACGGTGATTCGCGGCGTTGATGTTCCAGGAATGGCGTTCTGGCACAATTCCGGATTTTCAAACGGTTATATTCCAGCGGGGCACTTCCCTCAGTGAAACTGAATCCATGTAGGGGCTTATGAAGATGGAACTTTGAGGGAGGGTGTATTGCAATATCGTTGACGAGTGATTGGTTTGCACTGGTCCTCCTCCTTCTCCTTCTCCTTCTCCTTCTCCTCCTCCTCCTCCTGCCCCTCTCCTGATCCCCCCCTCATCCTCCCCCCAGTGTTCCCCGAAAAGTGTCCAGAGCAGCTGGGGCAATGCAGAGTCTCACACACTGGCCGATCTTGGGCCAAACGTTTGGCCACAGAGGCGCTTCCCCCAAAGGCCCCCCAAGAGTCCCAAGGAGGCTCCCCCCGGAGGCCGCCAAGAGGCTTTTAGGAAGCTCCCACGAAGCCCCTAAAGTGCCGCAAGAGGCTTCCAAAAGGCCTCCTCCTCCTCCTCCTCCTCCTCCTACCCTTCCTTACCTTCCTCTTCCTCCTCTGCCTCCTCTTACTCCTCTTACTCCTCATTTGTTGTGTTCCTTATATTATTCCTCCTCCTCCTCCTCCTCCTCATCATCATCATCATG